GGGAATTCTGGGAGTTGAAGTCCACCCATCTTAAAGTTGCCAAGGTTGAGAAACACTGGCTGAGTTGAACTGCCATATTCAGATCTAGCTTACCTTTATTGCTGTGGGATGACTCCAAGAGAGCATTTATTGCCAGAATACATCTTGCTGGTTTGGAAGAAGGAGAATGCTGGATTACACAGCTTTTTAGTCTGTTCTTAAGATTTTTATTTGGCTGCCGCATCTTGATGTAACACTGCAGTCCTTCTGCTTAATTTGGGCTCTCCTTTCAAGCAAACATTGCTTGCACCAGAGCTTCAAAAACAAGAGTGCACAGAGTGGAAAGAATAAATGTTTCGACTGGCTGTTCGTGTGCCTTGTTTTGGGAGTTCTCGCTTTCACTAGTCATTTCCCTAATTTCATCTAGTCATTTCTCTCGTGTGCACTTTTAGTGTGTGTGCCGGGAAGCTCCAGCTCTGAAAATTGACCCTCTGAATTAAGGACAGTGCAGTTGGTGCTGCTATTTTAATCATCATGAAAAAGTCTGCGCAGCATTTCAGATAGGAGGTGCTTTGGAGCATGGGCGTACCAACCACTTGCAGCTCCTTTAAAGCAGCTGCGTCTTTTCCCAGGATCACACAGATGCCCTCCAGAGCAGCCAGGCAGTCTTGGGAAGATTATGGCTGCTTTAAGAAGTTGCAGGCAACGGGTAGGTTTGCACCCCTGCACACTTTGCAGATCTTTTTGGAATCGTAGTTGAAGTGCTTTGGAATCCCGATAAGGTCATTGTTAACTTAACGTTAAAAGGTTTGCTTCAGCAATGATCTGCACTATTTTGTTAGGTGCAAAGAAACAGGTAAAGAGCCAGAATGGCTAAGGCTAAGGAGACTCAGGTTCAACTCCTTGTTCAGTCATGAAGGCTCACTGGATGATTCGGGGCTGCTGTCTAACTCCAGCCTTCCTCACAGGGTTGTTGGGATAAAACTGGCCCAGGGAGCATAAAATGCTTCCAGCGTTTGGAGGAAAAGCAGAATATGAATCTAAGAATGAGGTTTTTACTCCCTGTGTGAGTGGTCCAGACAATCCAAAAAAGTTCTGCTCTGTGATAAAGTGAACTTCTTCCATAAGTGGAGACAGCCAGGAGCCAGACTCACTTTCAGGAGCTTCCCAAGGGAATCTGCCCCCCCCCTTTTCTTTCTTTCTTTCTTTCTTTCTTTCTTTCTTTCTTTCTTTCTTTCTTTCTTTCTTTCTTTCTT